GGTGGGTGGCTAGCCACATATTCGGTGTTGTCCCTCGGTTTACAAGGCCATCGTCTCCCGCTCCGCCCTCCCGTAGGTTCCCCGTTGTTTATCTTCACGAGAATGGGAGCGCTCCTAAGGGGGACGACTCGGCAGCCAGCCTCAGCCAATCAGCGATTCGCATCGCTGGATAAGCCTCTCGACGTTAGATGATGTTGCTCCGTTGCTAATGGGAACAGGCCTCAATACTTGGGAGTAATAGTTGTTTTAACTTGCAAGTTAAAATTAACGTGAGGGAATCAAGGAGGCGAGGAGAACAATAGAGCTTAAGCAATTATGTAAAACAAATTTGAGACATTTCTTTGACGGTAACAAAGCTATGGAAATCGAAGACTCGTGGTGTGTTTACCCTTTCTGGCAGTAATAAAACAGCAGGAGTTGTGTTCAGATGGTCAAACACCAAAGAGATTAAAGCTTTGCAAAGGGATCAAGTTAGCGCATTAACAACAAGCGGTTCTTGTGGTGAACATGCAAACGAAACATGGCTCTGACAATATATGGCATTGTCTTAACCTGATTGGCCTCCACCAGAGACAGCAGGCTTCTTTAAGGCCTAGTCTCACTAGCAGTGTCAGTACACTAGTATAACAATAGACTATTACTTGTGTATGCATTGTCTTTAATAGTAATGCGACTGTAATGTTATAAGGCATTGCCTTAACCTGATTGGCCTCCACCAGAGACAGCGGGCTTCTTTTGGGCCTAGTCTCACTAGCAGTGTCAGTACACCAGTATAACAATAGACTATTACTTACGTATGCATTGTCTTTAATAGTAATGTAACTATAATGTTATATTGCATTGTCTTAACCTGATTGGCCTACACGAGATATAGCAGCCTTCTTTAGGTCCTGGTCTCACTAGCAGTGTCAGTACACCTGTATAATAATAGACTATTACTTGTGTCGAGGGGAATGTGTGAGGATCATGACTGTGACTCATGCAGCTGCAATGGCTGTTTTGGGTACACGGTCCAGACTTCCCCAGAGACCCTGGCTGACAGAGGAGTTCAGGCTGGTTGAGAGAAAGTGACAGGCCCACTCTCTTGATCTACAGCATCCCATGTCAGAGAATAAGCAGGCTTACTGCAGCCTTCGTTTGGAGATTCGGAGAGCCATGACGCGCTGCAAGGATGGATGGTGGTGGTCGCAGGTTGCTGAGGAGATGGAGTCTGCCTCAGTTGTCTACGATCAGAAATCACTCTTTAACTCCATCAAAAAAAGTAACGTGCAGCACCAGACCTATCACCATCATTAGGGGAAAGGACAGTGATCCAATCTTCCACCCCGAGGAACAGGTTTGCAGATTTCCTGCGCAGTTCTGTGAGGTCTTGTGGGAGGGGAAATCCCTCAGCCTGGAAAACATCATGGGGCAAAATGAGGATGACTCTGCTGAGTGAGTGACTGGCTGAGGTGCCATCTGTGGAGGAAGTACAAGGGTGATCTAGAGTCTGAGAATAAAAAGCGCTGGGCAGAGATGATCTGCCAAGCGAAATGCTGAGGGAGAGTGGCATCTGTGCGCAGACTGCCCTACATGATATCATCACAACAGTCTGGACCACTGGACGGGTTCTGCGGGATTGGAAGGATTTCCTGGTGGTCCCCCTCTTTAAGAAGAGGGAACCGTGCAGACTGTAACAACTACTGCCATAAGCAAAATCGGTCGCATCTTCTGGCCAAACAAGATTTCAAACCGAGGGACCTTTACAATCGAGACCAATTCTGGACGCGTAATGCAGGCATGTAACAGAGTGAAGACTCGGGTGGCTGGGACTCGAGCTGAGAATGGAACCCGAATCCATAGCAAAAGAAACCTGCTCTACCGTGGGCAAGACCAGGGAAGAGACCACGGGGGGCAGGCCAAAGACTGCCTGGCGACAATCAAGACAAAACTAAAGAGCATGGGGGTGCTGTCTTGGGGTGAAGCAAAGGAAGCTGCTAGAGCTTGTTGCGGCCTCACGCTCCACAGGGAGCAAAGAGGAGTTGCCAGGAAAGGGCCTGGCAAAGGATTATTGAACATTGCCTTGCCAGGCACGTTGAAGAGCGGCTTGCGGTGCCCCAATGTGGTTTCAGGCCAATACAGTCCTGCACAGATGCCATATTCTCTGTCTGTCTGCTATAGGAGAGGTGTTGGGAATTCCAACAAGAACTACATTTCTGTTTTGTTGACCTGTTCAAGGCGCTATGATACTATCAACAGGCCTGGGCACTGGGTTGCTCTTCGTACTTTTGGAGTCCCTGACCTTCTGCTCACGATCATTAAGGACCTTCATGATGGTGAGCAGGCTCACGTAAAGCTTCGTGGCTGGGAGTCGGAGCCATTTCCTGATAACCCTGAGGTGCAACAGGGATGTCTTCTGGCTCCCACATTATTTAACATCTATTTCGACCATGTAGTTTGAGAAGCCTTCCATGTCTGTGTAGTGACACAGTTCAGAGACAGTAATAATAGGAGGCACCTTCTTTATTATTACACACAATGGGGACTATACGCACCCTATGTGGGTGTACACTATATACAGTGAGGGAAAAAAGTACTTGATCCCCTGCTGATTTTGTACGTTTGCCCACTGACAAAGAAATGATCAGTCTATAATTTTAATGGTAGGTTTATTTTAACAGTGAGAGACAGAATAACAACAAAATCCAGAAAAACGCATGTCAAAAATGTTATAAATTGATTTGCATTTTAATTAGGGAAATAAGTATTTGACCCCCTCTCAATCAGAAAGATTTCTGGCTCCCAGGTGTCTTTTATACAGGTAGCGAGCTGAGATTAGGAGCACACTCTTAAAGGGAGTGCTCCTAATCTCAGCTTGTTACCTGTATAAAAGACACCTATGCACAGAAGTAATCAATCAGATTCCAAACTCTCCACCATGGCTAAGACCAAAGAGCTCTCCAAGGATGTCAGGGACAAGATTGTAGACCTACACAAGGGTGGAATGGGCTACAAGACCATTGCCAAGCAGCTTGGTGAGAAGGTGACAACAGTTGGTGCGATTATTCGCAAATGGAAGAGACACAAAAGAACTGTCAGTCTCCCTCGGCCTGGGACTCCATGCAAGATCTCACCTCGTGGAGTTGCAATGATCAGGAGAACGGTGAGGAATCAGCCCAGAACTACACGGGAGGATCTTGTCAATGATCTCAAGGCAGCTGGGACCATAGTCACCAAGAAAACAATTGGTAACACACTACGCCGTGAAGGACTGAAATCCTGCAGCGCCCGCAAAGTCCCCCTGCTCAAGAAAGCACATATACATGCCCGTCTGAAGTTTGCCAATGAACATCTGAATGATTCAGAGGACAACTGGGTGAAAGTGTTGTGGTCAGATGAGACCAAAATGGAGCTCTTTGGCATCAACTCAACTCGCCGTGTTTGGTGGAGGAGGAATGCTGCCTATGACCCCAAGAACACCATCCCCACCGTCAAACATGGAGGTGGAAACATTATGCTTTGGGGGTGTTTTTCTGCTAAGGGGACAGGACAACTTCACCGCATCAAAGGGACGATGGACGGGCCATGTACCGTCAAATCTTGGGTGAGAACCTCCTTCCCTCAGCCAGGGCATTGAAAATGGGTCATGGATGGGTATTCCAGCATGACAATGACCCAAAACACACGGCCAAGGCAACAAAGGAGTGGCTCAAGAAGAAGCACATTAAGGTCCTGGAGTGGCCTAGCCATTCTCCAGACCTTAATCCCATAGAAAATCTGTGGAGGGAGCTGAAGGTTCGAGTTGCCAACCGTCAGCCTTGAAACCTTAATGACTTGGAGAAGATCTGCAAAGAGAAGTGGAACAAAATCCCTCCTGATATGTGTGCAAACCTGGTGGCCAACTACAAGAAACGTCTGACCCCTGTGATTGCCAACAAGGGTTTTTCCACCAAGTACTAAGTCATGTTTTGCAGAGGGGTCAAATACTTATTTCCCTAATTAAATACAAAACAATTTTTGACATGCGTTTTTCTGTTTTTGTTGTTGTTATTCTGTTTCTCACTGTTCAAATAAACCTACCATTAAAATTATAGACTGATCATTTATTTGTCCGTGGGCAAACGTACAAAATCAGCAGGGGATCAAATACTTTTTTCCCTCACTGTATATATCACACACAACCATCTATTGTCGGTGGCACTATCTAGCTAGAACATATGGCAGGTTGTCTAGCTAGCGACGTCCAGCGATGGTGAAGACAGCGGCGACGATGGTGGCGAGACAGCAGCATAGACCTGAGCTCTCGCTCAGGGCTCCCTCTTATGCACCTGGCATGGCCTTGCTCCACCCTGGCCACGCCCCCCCTACTGGAACCTACTAGCAAGTTCCCGGGGCTTCCATATGGACCCTTCCATGAACTCTGCACTAGTTGTCTTCCCCCCGTGTGTACTGTCACCTGCTGACGCGTGCACTGTCACCTGCTGACGCGTGCACTGTCACCTGCTGACGCGTGCACTGTCACCTGCTGACGCGTGCACCGCCACCTGCTGACGTGTGTACTGCCGTACACTGCAGTTACCACTTTCAATCAACAGCCAGCACTATTGCTCTACAGCTGTACCAGTGGAATCTCCATCTGGTTCAGATACAATGGGAGGTTCATTGATGCCCGGGTGTGGTCAAGGGATGGCTCCCTACTGGTCAACTATGTTACGTATGCTGATGTTTGGTGATTGCTGCTCACTCAGAGGAGGAGTTGGAGGCGCTGCTGCCGAACCTGGAGTGTGCCACTAAGAGGCGGGGCCTGACCGTCATCCTCACCAAAACTAAACACCTGCCTGGGTATATTGCATCATCAAACACTCCACCCCCTCAACTCCCCATGAATGATGGGACAGTTGTGGAGAGAGTGGAGAGTTTCCATACCTGGGCAGTGTGCTTATGACCAGCTACGGTTTGGCAGCTTAGATATCACTCGGAATCAGTCGTAAGGCATTATCTAACCTAGCCTGGCCCCGCAATCAACCCACAGCACCACCTGCATCTGTCCTGTGACACCCTTCTACACCTAGCCTGGCACAGCAGTCAATCAGTGGCACCACTTGGTTTTGTCCCGTGACCTCCTCTTGAACCTAGCCTGGCACAGTCAACCCAATGGAATTCCGCATTAACCAGCCGCGTATTTGCCCCCTTCCCACTTCCGTTTTTTCAGATTTTTACCCAACATGAATCCACTCCCCTCATTCCAACGCTCACCATCACCACCGCCACTACTACAGCTACTACTATCTACACCAACATCATCATCTTCGCCACCACCACCGACACCGAACTCCAACCACTGCGTGTCGTCCCTCTACGGCCTCAGCTGCACGCCCTCTGATCTGAGCCACATGGGGCGTTCCCTCCTCCTCACCATCCTCTTCCTCGCCATCCTTGTCACACTGGCGGGCAACCTTCTCATCATCGCCTCCATTGCCTTCTTCCGGCAGCTGCAGACGCGCTCCAACGTCCTCGTCACCTCGCTCGCCGCTGCCGACCTCCTCGTCGGCTCGCTCATCATGCCCTTCAGTGCCGTGCGCACCGCCCACAACTGCTGGCCCTATGGCGACCTCTTCTGCCGCCTGCACACGTGGCTCGACTTCTCCGCCACGTGCTCGTCCATCATCAACCTTGCGTGCATCTCGGCCGAGCGCTACATCTCGGTGAGTGACCCGCTCCGCTATCGGCAGCGGGTGACGCCGCGCGTGCTCGTCGCGATGCTTACCCTCTCGTGGTCGGGCCTCGCTGTTTACGGCGCCACCTTCCTTGCTGGCTGGAATGTCGCGGGCATGGAGGGCGTCATCGCGGCTGAGAGCTGCCCACACAGCTGCCGCGTCTTTATGAACGTCGCCACGACGTTCGCCAACGTGGGCGCCTACGTGGCACCAATGGTCGTCATGGCGGTGGCCAACGTGAAGACCTACAGCGTGGCGCGCGCCCAAGCAAGGAGGGTGCATGCCTCCGGGCCGCTCGATGCACATGGCCGGAGCCGCTGGGAGGCGATGAAGCGTGAACACAATGCCACCAAGACCATGGGCATTATCATGGGCGTCTTCATCCTCCTGTGGCTGCCCTACATCCTGCTGGCATCCACCGAGCCCTTGTTTGGCTACGGCACGACGCCGGCGACGTGGGAGGCGGTGAACTGGCTGCCATACATCAACTCGACAGTTAACCCCGTGCTGCTCGCATCCTTCAACCGCACCTTCAACGGCGCCTTCCGCGTCATCTTCACAGGCAGGGCGACCAGGCCCGGGGCACGCGGCACCGACCTCTACAACCTCCGGGACCGAGTGAGGTGATGGTGGTGGGTGTGTGGAGGTGGTGGTGGGGGTGGTGGAGGTGGGCCAGAGGTCAAGTTGATGATGGTGGTGGTGGTGGTCTCTGGCCCCCAACTACCTTCTCCTGCATCTCTCTCTTTCTCATTTCCTCCATCGATACGTCCTCCTACCTCTCATGCATCTTATTCCACATCATTCCCAATCTTCTGTCTCTCTCTATGTCCCTCCTTGGGATCAACTTCCACTGACCAAAGACTCAACACTGCCACCCATAGACTCAGCACTGCACCATGAACTCAACATTGCACCATAGACTCAGCGGTGCAACATAGACTCAACACTGCACCATATACTCAGCACTGTACCATAGACTCAACACTGCACCATAGACTCAGCACTGTACCATAGACTCAGCATTGCCCATCGACTCAACACCGCCCATAGACTCAACGCTGCAACATAGACTCAGCACTGCACCGTAGACACAACACTGCAACATAGACTCAGCACTGCACCATAGACACAACACTGCCACAGACTTAGCACTGCCCATAGATTCAACACTGCAACATAGACTCAACACTGCAACATAGACTCAGTACTGCACAATAGACTCAGCACTGCACCATAGACTCACCACTGCCTATTCTCTCAACACTACCCATACTCTCAACACTTCCAATGGACTCAGCACTCCACCATAGACTCAATACTGCCCATAGAACACATTCCTGTGGAGGGAGCTGGTAGGAACGTTGGGTTGCTCGGTCAATGGCCAGGGTCAACAGCGGCGTGGTGTATTCCGCAAATATGCCCGACCCAGCCCCTCCACACCCTCCCCACCCTCCCCTCCCCACCCAGCCCCTCCCCACCCTCCCCTCTCCACCCAGCCCCACCCCTTCCATTTTATCCGGGTGTCCGGATACACGTGGACAGACATCTACAGACATACACAATTAATCCCCTGCCTCCTGTGAATTAATCCCAGTTGGGCTTCCAGTCCACTACGTTTCCTACCAGTAATGCCCACTAGGAGCGCATTTGTTATATATCTGGGTGTCCTGATACACGTGGACAGACATCCACAGACATACACAATTAATCCACTGCCTCCTGTGAATTAATCCCAGTTGGGCTTCCAGTCCACTACGTTACCAGTAATGCCCACTAGGAGCGCATTTGTTATATATCTGGGTGTCCGGATACACGTGGACAGACATCCACAGACATACACAATTAATCCCCTGCCTCCTGTGATAATCCCGGTTGGCCTTCCAGTCCACTACGTTTACTACCAGTAATGCCCACTAGGAGCGCATTTGTTATATATCCGGATGTCCGGATACACGTGGACAGACATCCACAGACATACACAATTAATCCTTTGCCTCCTGTGATAATCCCACTTGGGCTTCCAGTCCACTACGTTTACTATCAGTAATGCCCACTTGGAGCACATTTGTTATATATCCGGGTGTCCGGATACACGTGGACAGACATCCACAGACATACACAAATGATCCCCTGCCTCCTGTGATAATCCCGGTTGGGCTTCCAGTCCACTACGTTTCCTACCAGTAATGCCCACTAGGAGCGCATTTGTTATATATCCGGGTGTCCGGATACACGTGGACAGACATCCACAGACATACACAATTAATCCCCTGCCTCCTGTGAATTGATCCCGGTTGGCCTTCCAGTCCACTACGTTTCCAACCAGTATTAAACACTGCACGATAGACTCAAAACTGCACTATTGACTCAGCACTGCCCATAGACTCAACACTGCACAATAGACTCAACACTGCAACATAGACTCAGCACTGCACCATCGACTCAACACTTCACATGCACTGAACACTGCACCATACACTCAAAACTGCGTTATAGACACAACACTGCACCATGGACTCAACGCTGCCCATAGACTCAACACTGTCATCCATAGACTCAACACTTCCCATAGACTTAGCACTGCCCATTGACCCAACAATGCACCATAGACTCAACACTGCACAGAGACTCAACACTGCCCATAGACTCAGCACTGCACGATAGACTCAGCAGTACAACATAAACTCAACACTGTCCATACTCTCCACACTGCCCATAGACTCAACATTGCACCATAGACTCAGCGCTGCACCATATAATCAACACTGCCCATAGACTCAATACTGCACAATAGACTCAGTACTGCACCATAGACTCAAAACTGCCCATAGACTCAACACTGCCCACAGACTCAGCAATGCCCATAGACTCAACATTGCACTATAGACTCAGCACTACCCATCGACTCAAGACTGCCCCATAGACTCAACACTGCACCATAGACTTAACACTGCAACATAGACTCAGCACTGCACAATAGACTCAGCACTCCACCATAGACTCACCACTGCACCATCGCCTCAACACTGCCAATGCACTCAACACTGCATCATAGCCACAACACTGCACCGTAGACGCAACACTGCCCATAGACTCAAAACTACCACCCATAGACTCAACACTGCACCATATACTCAACACTGCTCATACACGCAGCACTGCCCATACACTAAACACTGCCAATAGATTTTTGATTTAAAGCTTTCGTAACTGCAGGGATTCATTTTCTTGGTTCTTTGGTAAAGTCACGTAGAAGGGAAACAATGAAATAATATAAATATCAAACAATAAAATTCTCAACGACGTTTCGACTGCAACACAAGCAATCATCATCAAATGTGAAAACCACAGCAAGAAAATTAATGATTTTATTGTTTCCCTTCTACGTGACTTTACCGAAAGAAGCAATAATATATATATACTGCCCATAGACTCAATACTGCCCCTAGACTATTCACTGTCCATAGATTCAACATTGCACCATAGATTCAACATTGCACCATAGACTCAGCGCAGCACCATATACTCAACACTGCCCATAGACTCAACACTGCACAATAGACTCAGCACTGCACCATAGATTCAACACTGCCCATAGACTCAGCACTGCCCATAGATTCAACACTGCACCATACTCAACATTGCACCATAGATTCAGCACTGCACCATAGACTCAACACTGCCCATAGACTAAACACTACCCATCCACTCAACACTGCCCATACTCTCAACACTGCCAATAGAATCAGCACTGCATCATAGACTCATCACTGCCCATAGACTCAACACTGCCTCCATGGACTCAATCCTGTTTATATATTCAATACTGCACCATCGAATCAACACTGCATCATATGCAAAATACTGCACCATAGACGCAACACTGCCACCCATAGACTCAACACTGCACCATAGACTCACCACTGACACCATCGACTCAACACTGCCCATGCATTCAACACTTCACAATACACTCAACACTGCATCATAGCCACAACACTGCACCATAGACGCAACACTGCCCATACACAGCACTGCCCATAGACTAATCACTGCCCATAGAATCAACATTGCACCATAGACTCAACATTGCACCATAGTCTCAGCGCTGCACCATATACTCAACACTGCCCATAGACTCAACACTGCACAATAGACTCAACACTGCACAATAGACTAAGCACTGCACCATAGACTCAACACTGTCTATAGACTCAGCACTGCCCATAGATTGAACACTGCACCATACTCAACATTGCACCATAGATTCAGCGTGGCACAATAAACTCAACACTGCCCATAGACGAAACACTGCCCATACTCTCAACACTGCCAATAGAATCAGCACTGCACCATAGACTTATCACTGCCCATAGACTCAACACTGTAACATAGACTCAGCACTGCACAATAGACTCAGCACTGCACTATAGACTCAACACTGCCCATAGACTAAGCACTGCCCATAGATTCAACACTGCACCATAGACTCAACATTGCTCTATCGACTCAGCACCGCAACATAGACTCAACACTGCCCATAGATTCAACACCTCACCATAGACTCAAAACTGCAAAATAGAATCAGCACTGCACAATCGACTCAGCACTGCACAATCGACTCAGCACTGCACCATAGACTCATCACTGCACCATCGACTAAGCGTTTCACCATAGACTCAACACTGCACCATCGACTCAACACTGCACAATAGACTCAGCACTGCAGCACAGACTCAACACTGCCTATAGATTCAACACTGACCATACTCTCAACACTGCATCATAGCCACAACACTGCCAAAAACGCAACACTGCCCATAGACTCAAAACTACCACCCATAGACTCAACACTGCACCATAGACTCAACACTGCCCATACACTCAGCACTGCCCATACACTCAAAACTGCCCATAGACTCATCACTGCCCATAGACTCAACACTGCCCCCCAAAGACTCAATACTGTTCATATATTCAATACTGCACCATAGAATCAACACTGCATCATATACACAATACTGCACCATAGACGCAACACTGCCACCCATAGACTCAACACTGCACCATATACTCACCACTACCACCATCGACTCAACACTGCCCATGCATTCAACACTTCACAATACACTCAACACTGCATCATAGCCACAACACTGCACCATAGACGCAACACTGCCCATAGACTCAAAACTACGACCCATAGACTCAACACTGCACCATAGACTCAACACTGCCCATACACTCAGCACTGCCCATAGATTACTCACTGCCCAGAGACTCAAAACTACCACCCATACATTCAACATTGCACCATACTCAACATTGCACCATAGACTCAGCGCTGCACCATATACTCAACACTGCCCATAGACTCAGCACTGCCCATATATTCAACACTGCACCATACTCAACATTGCACCATAGATTCAGCGCTGCACCATAGACTCAACACTGCCCATAGACTAAACACACTGCCCATACTCTCAACACTGCCAATAGAATCAGCACTGCCCATAGGCTCAACACTGTAACATAGACTCAGCACTGCACAATAAATTCAGCACTCCACCATAGACTCAACACTGCCCATAGACTACGCACTGCCCATAGATTCAACACTGCAC